CGGGAATCCTGTGTGTAAAAAACAGTACGCGGGGGGGGCGGATATCTTCGGGACGCCAGCAGGGGAAGTGGGAGAGCATTTACATATTGTATCACTGTGGAGGAGGAGGAGGAGGAGGAGGAGGAGGAGGAGGAGGAGGAGAAGGGGAAGGAGGAGGAGGAAGGACGCGGAGGAGGAGGAGGACGATGACGAGGAGGCGGGGGAGGAGGCAAGAGGACGAGGCGAGACGAGGAGGAGAAAGAAAGAGGAGAGGAGGAGGGGGCATGAGGAGTGAGGGACGAGGGGAGGAGGAGGAGGAGGAGGAGGAGGGCGAGGAGGAGGAGGAGGAGGAAGAAGAAAAAGGACTGCAACCACCGCGCCTGCTGGGCGCACGGCAGGACGCAACGAGCCGGCCCGTGGCCTCCGGGCACGAGAAATGAGGGAGGCGGCGGGAACGAGGAGAGGAGGAGGAGGAGGAGGAGGAGGAGGAGGAGGACGCGGGGGAGGAGGAGCAGGAGGGGGAGGGAGGAGGGGCCGCATGCAAGCAGGCAAGCAGGGGGCAACGGGGGGAGCTGGCCAGGCAGCGGCCCCGCCGCGCCCCGCCCGAGCATCTCCTTCCGCATGGGAAGGGCGGGTCGCGAGCGTGCGGAGGATGCGTGTCGTCCGGGGGCGGGGCCGCCCGTATAGGCTGACCAGACGAGCGGCTGGTACAGGTTGTTCTGACAGTCCAGAAACAAAAGCTGCGGGGCGTAATAGGCCACCTCGCGCTCGCACACGCTGGACACGCAGTCCGGGCCAGCATCGCACGCGCCGGGAGAGGCAATTCCGACGTCGAGAAAGGTGAGCCCGTGCCACAGCGTTCCTGTGGGCACGTCCGCGGGCCTCAGCCGGGTACCCGGGATGAGGTTCTGCGCCTCGAGCTCGGCGGCGGGGCCGCAGCCCTTGGCAACCTCGTACACCCGCCGCGCAAGCGCGTGGCGGCCCTTCGTAGTCTCGACCCTGCCGCAGCAGAGGGCGCGCGAGCCCGCGGAGTCGAGCAGCTCGGCGCCGCAGAGGTTGCAAGGGGTGGGCTCGCTGGGACTGGCGGCGCCGACGCGGAGCTGGAGCGCCTCGACGGGATCCTGGTGGTCGAGGAGGGGCTCCTTCGTGCCAGCTCAGAACCCAGAGCCACTCGTGGTTGGTGCAGCGCCGTGTTGTTGCCAGCCTGCGCGCGGCGCTCGCGAAGCTCCACCAGGCGCGCCTGCGTGTCGAAGCGGGCCAGGGTGGCCCTCTGGAGGTGGGCTCGGCCGCGGGGGGCAGCAGCCGGGTGCTCGTCGCCCTCGTTCTCGTCGAGGGGGACGATGCCGCTGCCCATGCGCTGGAGCTGGCCGTTCTGTCTGGAAGCGCCGTCGTTCGTCGGTGGGCCAGCGTCGAAGAGGCCGAGGCCGGCCCACCGCTCCTCGCACTGGTCGGCCTCGTCTGCGAGGAAGTCCAAGAGCTGCCTGCCGGGGGTCGGAAGGAGGAGCCCCATCAGCGTGACCGCGGTTTCCTCCGCTCGCTGGTCGTAGACCCCCATGACCGTGGCCGCGGTGCTCAGGCCTGCAAGGGCGAGGTGCCCGGCCATCTCGCGGACGTGTGGGCGGGAGCTCACGCGGCTGGCGAGGAAAGCGGATGTGGACACGCACTCCGCGGTGCGTAGACCGAGGCTGCCCCAGGAGACTCGAAAGGTGGCTTGTTCCCATGCGTCGTCCGACCGGTCGACACCAACGATGTTCTCCACCGCGGTGCGCAGATCTCTGTCGAGGGTGGCGAACCGGTCGTGGCCGATCCCGTCCCCGTGGAAGCGCAGAGGGAAGAGGAGCTTCGGCGCGTCGGCGCACGGGCGGGTCGGGACGAGCTCGGTGGGGGCGCGGCTGACGGTGAGCAGCGCGAGGCGGGCGGCCCGGGCCTCCTCTGCGACCGCGCCGTGACCTCGTCGTCGAGGCGGGCGCCTCTGCACTGCCAGAGGAGGGGGCGCCCGGGGCGAGCGCGGGGGGCCCCGCGGGTCGAGGGCGGTGGCGGGGGTGGCGGCGCCCACGGGTCGGCGTCCCCGCCGTCGTGGGGGGTGGCGCTGCGCCGGCGGGCAGAGCAGGCTGACTACCTACCAGACCACCCCAACCCAACCCGAAGACCCGAATTTCGGGTTGGGGGGGTAAGGGTTCCACACGTGTTTTTTCGATGTTTCCCGACCCCCCCCCACTGGAAATCGAGGGTAAATCTGAGCCTTCGGGTTGGGTTGGGGTGGTTTGGTGGGTGGTGACAGGCGGCAGGAGAGCTCCGGCAGAACGGCGTCGCCTGGCGGAAGAGCACTGCAGTCGAGGCGTTGACCTAAGGAACCCTCAGTGAGGAACGAGGCCCCTGTTTTCCACAAGTTGAACTTCGATCTCGTGTCGAAAGCCTTAGGAAAATCTCAGGCAAGCTGCGAAACAATCAAGGAACACGGAGCCCCTCCCCAACGAAAAGGGTTCCTTCTTCAGGGCCGCGACTGTAGACTCCACCGCCCCCGGGTGCTGCCAACTGCGCAGCTGTTGCCACTTCCGCGGGCTCCTGGGAGTTCCAGCGGAGTGACGTCTTACGCAACCCCAAACCGAGCCTCGCCGTCCCCGGGAGGTTGCTCACGGCGCCACTGAAGCCAGCCTTTCGTGGGTTCCTGGGGGATCCAGCAGAAGTGATGCCTTATGCAAGCCCAAATCAGACCTCGCCCTCTGGGGGCTGCCAACTGAGCAGTTGTCGTCACTGTCGCATACCCCTGGGAAGACCAATGCAGTGACAGAAATCGAAACTGGACCTGGCCCTCCTTGGGGGCTGCCAATTGTGCAACTATCGTCATCAGCGGATCCGAGCTACACATCGTCCTCCATGGTGGCTACCAACATGCAACTGTCGCCATGTTCGTGAGCTCCTGGGATGACCAGCAGAGAGGTATCTTACTCAGACCCAGACTAGACTCCGCCTTCGCCGGGGGCTGTCAACTTCTCAACCGTCGCAACTCTCGTGAGCTCCTGGGAGATCCAGCGGAATGACGTCTTACAAATGTCCACACAGGACCTCGGCCCCCATGGGGGCTGCCAACTGCGCAACGGTCGCCACTGCCGTGACACCCTGGGAGGTCCAACGAAAGGCGGCACTACGCAGATCCAAACGGGATCTCGCCCTCCATGGGTGCTGCCAACTGCGCAAGGGTCGCCACTTTCGCGAGCGCTTGGGGAGTCTAGCGGAGTGGCGAGCTACGCAGGTCCAAGCGAGACCTCTCCCTCACTGTGTACTGCCAGCCGAGCAGTTGTCGCCAGTTTTGTGAGCACGTGGGGGCCCATAAGGCTTACAACGCGCAGGCCCCCCCTGCACATTGCACGAATGAAAGAGTCCCTTGTCTTATCACCGCTCGTTTGAGGTGAACCCATTGATATTGGCAACTGATTCGCACGGGTTGAGTACATCAAAGGGCAGTATCGCTCTTAAGGAAACCCTAATACTGCAGGCCATCCCACGCATTGAGCACGACGTGCGTCCGATTTGAGCTCTAAGTCCCTGCGCGCTTCGCCTTCCACGCAAAAACGTGGGGCTGGGAAGGGCCACGAAGGCAACAAAAACAACTACGATAAATTCAATATCCCTAGGACCCTCTTGACCTCACGGCGATTCCTGCCAGATTGCTTGCCTTCTGTTTCAGGTAACAGTCGTTACCCGGGGAGGGTTGGATTGGGGCCCCGGGTAACGATAACGCTTGGGCGAGGTGGGCCACGTCAGGGCGGGGGTGCGCTGCGACCGCCCAGTATGCGTGCGAGCCCATGCATGTGGGGGGGGATCCAGGCCCCCACCCCTGCTCTGGGATTCCAAGACCGTGTGGTAACGGACCGCGAGGTGACCTCGAAATCCCAAGAGACCTCATCGAGCGGTCCGTCACCGCACGTTCTTGGAACCTCGGAGGCCCCAGTCGCCCGAGACATCATCGGAAAACGACCCGCGACCCGAGCCCCAAGACCGTGTCAAGACCCCGAATCCGCACTGACTCATCACGCGGTGTAGTCACCACACCGTTTGGGTGTCCCCGACCTACGTACGATCGCTACCGTAACCCATGAGGGGGTACCAAGGTAATGACCAGCACGCACGACTACAACCACTACTCGAGCCAAAATGTTTACGTACAGTTCTGCTGTCGAGGAAGCACCACGACGCCAGTGTCCTGCACCGTGGACTGCATAGAGGCCGCGCGCAGAGACCACCCCCTGCGCACCCCTCTCCTGTGGAGAAAGTGCCACGCCTGCCGTGCCCTGCGCCATCGCCCGCATAGAGGCCGCGCTCAGGGACCACCCGCTGCGCACACCCTCTGGTCTCGAGCAAGTGCCACGCCTGCCGTGCCCTGCGCCATCGCCCGCATAGAGGCCGCGCTCAGGGACCACTCGTCTGCCACGCTTTGCGAGCCCGAAACGGCTAGCGTCCACACCCCCAGCGCACCCTCTCTGGGGCCGAAAAAATGCCACGCCTGCCGCGCTTTGTGAGCCCAGAACGAATAGCGACCACACACGTAGCGCACCCCCTGTGGTGTCGAGGATGTAGCACGCCTGCTACGCTTTGCGAGCCTGAAACGGATAGCGTCCACACACCCAGCGTCATTCCCTGTGTTGCCGAGAATGTGCCACGACCCCGTGGTATCCTGATCTGCCTCTGAGTGTCTTGTGTATGTGTACGATCTGTGTACAGGTGTATATATGCAAATATGCATCATGTGAGTGTCGTGTATTATAAAGTGCTGCGTATGCTTCCGATGCGTGTGCGCGGCTAGTGCGCGCGAAGCATACGTGAGTATGTCTTAAGCCTTGTGTGCGTATGTTTGCCAAGTGTATGAGCGTGGCGCGCGCACGAGTGCATGCGAGAAGGAGACGGAGGAAGAGGCGTGAGAAGGAACGCGGGCGCGACGCGGGTGGGGAGATAACCAGAGCCCCACTCATCAAGTGGGGAAAGAACGGTCTCTGCCCCGCCCCCCAAAGCCCCAGCCCCACCCGCGACGGCGGCCCCTGCGAGGCATCTCCCAGGAGCGCCACGCGGGGCACCGGAGCGCCGACGGCCAGGGCTGCCACCGCGGCGCTGGCAAGGCCTTCGGCGGGGCCCCACCCCAGAGGACTCGACAGGCGTAGATGAAAAAAAACAGCATTGGCAAAGATTTGACGTCCTTCAACAGTGTAACCTCTTGCCATCGCTCGGACGTCAACTCCCCGCGCATTGTTTGGTGTCGTACATTTTTTGCCCTGAGGATCCAAGATGCTCCTCAAGGATGTTCCAGATGTTCTGGCATTGGCCTCGCCGAAAAAATGCACAAATCCGTGCGATGCCACGAGTTCTACACCGTGGAAGTCTGGGGAAAGACGGGGAATGACTGCTGGACTGGAGGCCGAAGTTGATCACTTCCAACAAGTGTGAATGAAGGGGCTCGACGGTGGCAAATAGTTAAGGCCCTCCGAAAATCTACCTGTGAAATTATTGAACGTGAAATCTGGGGAAATCTGGGTGAATGAATCCCGGCCGGACCAGAGGCCGAAGTGATTCACTTTTGTTCACCGGGTCCCGTCCCGTCTGACTGTTACGCTCTGGAAAAAATTATCCCAGTGCGACCCTACCTAGGAGTTGGAACCCCTAGGAAAGCAGCATTAGTAGTAACAGTAACGCTAAGCTAAAGCTAAGCTAAAGCTAAGCCACAGCTAAGCTAAAGCTAAGCTAAAGCTAAGCTAATGCTAAGCCACAGCTAAGCTAAAGCTAAGCTAAAGCTAAGCTAAAGCTAAGCTAAAGCTAAGCTAAAGCTAAGCGAAAGCTGAGCAACAGCTAAGCTAAAGATAAGTTAAAGCTAAGCTAAAACTAAGTTAAAGCTAAGCTAAAGCTAAGCTAAAGCTAAGCTAAAGCTAAGCTAAAGCTAAGCTACAGCTAAGCTCAAGCTAAGCTAAAGCTAAGCTAAAGCTAAGCCACAGCTAAGCTAAACGCTAAGCGAAAAGCTAAGCGAAACGCTAAGCTAAAGCTAAGCTACAGCTAAGCTAAAGCTAAGCTAAAGCTAAGCTAAAGCTAAAGCTAAAGCTAAAGCTAAAGCTCCCAGGGGACTGGGGGGAACCGCTCCCAGGGGACTGGGGGAACCGCCCGGGGCGTGTTGCACTGCCCGGCCCCTTTAAGCTAAGAGAGTAAGAACCCTTCTAGGCAGAGCCTAGGTAGGGAATAAACTGGCAAACGTGCAGACAAGTTCGCGAGACCACTGGGCTTGAAATATCGGATGAATCAGCGCCGTCGTTGAATGGGGTGCCTTCGCCAGCAGTCGAGGCGACCAAACGCCCGACCGCGAACCGCACTGATGCCAGCTGGCCGTAGACACTATGCTGCGGGGAGTAATGGGGCAGGAGCAACCCGAAGCGCAAAGCAGGACCATCGCACGCCGTCGCCACACCGACGCACAGCGGGCAGCCCTCGCTTGCACGCGAGGCAGGAAGAGGAGCCGAGGTACAATGCACGTCCATACACACAACAATGCACGTCCATACACACACACACACACACACACACACATACATATTCACACACACACACACACACGCGCGCGCGCACACACACACACACACACACACACACTTCCTCCGACGCGCCACCGACAAGAATTGCCGGAAATCAGGTCAGGCGACGCAGGCACAGGCCAGAGCTTGTGTGGCAGCGCAGCAAAAACGCAAATCTGTCTAGATTCACTTCGGACCAGCACGACAAGTCGGGCGAGGCAAGCGTTAAGTCGGGCGTGTCCCCCTACAGGGGGATTTGGGGCGAAAAATAAAAAATACTCAAACAATACCCCCCCCAATGGGAGAAAATAGTCAAGAAATCGTCCCCAGACTATTTTTGAACTATTTTCGAATATCCCCCCTGTAGAGAGGGACACGCCCGACTTCAGGCAAGCGGGGACGAGAGCGGCGGACAAAGCCGCTGGGGCACGAGCGGGGGGCGAGGGAGCGCCCACAAGCAGAGACAGCGAGAATCGCACGAGCAGGCCGGAGAGAGCCCGGGGGCCCGGCTCGCCCCGCCTCAAGAGGGCGCGCGGCCGCGCGCAGCCATCCCTGCCCAGCTCCCCCCCGTGGTGGCGGGCCCTGCCCTCGGACAGAGCAGGCAGCGGAGAGCGGCGGTCGTCGTCGCCGTCGCCGTCGCCGTCGCCGTCGCCGTCGCCGTCGTCGTCGTCGAGGATCGAAGACTGAAAGTCTGCCCATGCTGAGGAAAGTCCTGGAGGCCCCGCGCGGCAGCTCGAAGCCCAGCCTGCGTCGGATCCGCGTCGGACTCACGCCGGACTCGCGCCAGGAGTCACGCCGAGACTGCGCCGGCCCGAGGCCGGAGCAGCGCCGCGCGAGCGTCGTCCCGTATCTGACAGAGGGCGAGCGTGTGGACTGGAGAGTGCCACGATTGCGCGCATCGCTGAGTATCGTTTCACCGATCCCCATCCCCAGCGGCGTGGCCTGGGCCCCACCGGCCGATTTACCCCCCCAGGTGGGGATATACAGGTCGTTCCCTTCGGGCTTCGAGGGGTGTATCCCCAACTGGGGGGGGGCAATTTGGTGGGGGTCTCGACAGGGACGGGGATGGGGATGGGGATCGTTTAAACGATGCCGAATCGCGAGGCCTCCGGGACTCTCTTCGTCGTGGGGGTCGCTCTCGGGCCTCGGGAGGCGCCTCGGGGAGGCCTCGGCGGAGCTCGGGCGGGACCCGCCGCGTGCCTCCGGAGAGGCCTGGGAGGCTCTCTGTGGAGCAGGTGGTCGGCCCAGGGCACGGGGAGGCACCCGCCGCAGCCACGCAGCTGGCTCGGAAAGCCTCTCGAGATCGGGCCGCTCGACATCCGGAGGACACGGCGCGGGGCGGCATCCGTCGCAGCCGCGCGGCTGGCTCGAAGAAAAGCCTCTCGACATCGGGCCGGTCGATGTCACGTCCGCAGGGCACGGCGCGGGCAGGCATCGGCCGCAGCCCCCTGGTCCAGTCTTGCTCCGCTCGTGGGCCCCCTTCCGCACTCCTGCTCCTCCTCGTCTCCGGCGGGCTCTCCGCTCCGTCCGCGCTCCCACGACCGTGACGAAGAAGGGAGCCTGTGAGAAGTCGGCCCCAAATCTTCCTCTCCGAAACGATTACAGAATCGCCTGGTGTCCGATCCAGACGACCGCTCCGTAGGAATTCCGAGCAACCACGTCAAACCACCTGCTCGTGAATAGTATGGGAGATTCTAGTAGATGAGCTGCAGGTAGGCCTGGACGGTAACATTGCCGTGGAGCGCTAGCGAGACACTGAGGACGAGCCAGAACCCCCTCAGATGCCGAGCGATACCCACACATGCTCCTGGAGATGGCGATGATGAGTCAACAGATCGACGAGCGAAACGAGCCCACACAACTTCGCCGAAGGTTTGGAAAATTTCGGCCACCACTGAAGCATCGAGAGCGAGCATACATCGACTTATCCGCTGCGTTGCAGTCCGAGCTTCGAAGATTGTGCTCTCTAGCCCATGGCGGATCAAGCACACCTTCGGCTGAGTGGCAGGTGGTGAGGGCTGCAACGGCCTTGGCACTGATACAATTTGACAGATGGCCTCGCGATGAGCTAACGCCCAAATCCGAGCTGGCCCTGAAGGCCCGATGCTCACAAGCGCCGTCCTACAACACGGACGACTCAAAACATCTACTGATTTCGTCTCGGAAAGTTGGGAGTGCCAGGTCAGGTAGATGTTATGGTGGCTGCTGCGACGCAATCACCTCCCTGTCAAAAACACATCACTCGAACTTAAGCACCCTCGTTTACGTAGTTGGAAAGAAATCACAGCACGATTGCGTGTAAAGCATGCGCGCTGAAAGCTGGTGCGATCAAAATGATAATAGTTTGGCGAACTCTCAAGGGCGTACATGCACCAGGAAGCAACAGGGAGCACGTGACAACGGTGGCATCAACAATCCAAATATCGACGAGACTATAGACGAGGGCTCAAAAACATCAGGCAAAGTGAAAGCATCCCGGCCGGATGGAATCGGCAAAAGGCTTGGCAGAAACTAAAGCTCAGCAAACCCTGCGGTCGGGCCGCTGAGGGCAAGACACGATGAGACGAGCTCGGGGCCCCTGTCCCTCCAGCCCGCTGCCGTCGTGACAAAGGAATGATCAAGAGGTTATTCCTCCAACCACCTCCCCTCATGTATCCCACGCTCTTCTTTCTTCGCCTGGCCGGCGACCAGCCTCCGCGCTGTGAGAGCCGGGGCTGAGTCTTTCGGGCTGCTGTGCTGCGCCGGAGGTGATGTGATTACAGCCCACCGGAGCCGTGAGGAGCCTGGGCCTGCTAGAGGATCAAGGCCATGGCCTGTCTCTCCCCCCTGCTGGGTCTTCGGAGGCCTCCCGAGGCTCCAGAAAGAAGCCCTCTGCATACTCTCGGGGATATCCAAGGACCCCTGTGGAATTCCGGAGGGAGCAAGTTGACTAGGGGCACGACGACCCCAACCCCCGACATTTTAAAAGGTTTGCGAATGGACCTAAATTCAAGGCCATACTCAAGAATATACGACGGGGGGGATTCCATCCTCGATGATGGTGCGTCCCAATAGGTGAACGTTTTTATTCGGCGTTTCGACATTGGGCGGAAGGGGGGAGGGAGGGGGGGGGGCCTTGCTCTGGACCTCTGCTTGGTGCGACTGTTTGGAACCGTGCGTCCCATGGGGGAGAGGCTCCACCTGCTCAAAGCAGGCGCCAAAAACAGCCAAGATCTACTTCATAGGGGGGAGGGTGAAAGGGGGTTTGGGGGCCCGCGCCGACCGGCAAAACAATTCATAAAAAAAACGATCACCAAGTGCCTGGCTGTCTGGCGACAGCTCGGCTAAGACGGAGTGTCACCACGCGAGGGCACCGTGGTCGCACCGCGTGAGCGAAGCCGGCAGAGCGAGCGCCCAGGATCTCCTCATACCTCCGCCGGGCTGCGAATACAGCCGCCGCGCGTCATAAGGACGCAAAGTGTTAAGGCAATACCCACGGGTGACCAACGTGCAACCCGCCGCACGGGCATCCTGTCGGGCTGGCCGGTACAATCAGCCAAGGAAGTGTCGAGAAGGCAAGTATGCCAAGGCACACTCAGAGAGTCAGCTCATCCTTACGAAGTGCGGCAACTGTGCCTTGGAAGTCCGCACGGATTTCTCGAATCGGCGCTGGGCCCCCTGGCGGCGCCTCCGCCTCTGGCGCGCTCCGCGCGGCAGTGAGGGGGGTCCAGCGCCGATCCAAGAAATCCGCGCGGACCCTCAAGAGCTTATGATTATGTTGTTTGTTCCTCTAGGCTCGGGTCTATCTTGAGCTCGCAGCCGTCTGTACAGCGACGACGACGACGACGAGCGGCGACTGTACTAATTGCGGGCGGCGACTGTACTGTTGGAGTCCCAAGGCGGATGGGGACGGAAAACAAAAACGTGCCCAGCGAAGCAAGTCATGGCGGCCAGCGAGGACGGAGCCCCTTGCCTGAGGGCGCCAGCGACGGCTGGGCGCCATGCCCCACGTTCGCCTCGATGCCTCCTCTCGCTTCTCACGCTCGTCCTCCTCCCCCGTCCTCCTCCCTCCCTCGGCATCCTCCTCACTCCCTCTCACTCGTCCCCCCCGCCCTCAGCACATGCCGGAGAGCCGAAGGAAGGAGAAGAGAGAAGAGGATAGGAAAGAAGAGAATGGGAGCTATAGCAGTACACGACGACAACGACAACGACAACGACATCGACAACATCGACAACGACGACGACGACAACGACGACGACGACGACGACGACGACGACGACGACGACGACAACAGCAACAATCATTCTAAGACTGTTCGCTCCTATCTGCTTACGTGCACGTGCCAATCAATACGTATATCCCAAACCCTCGGTACATGCCCACGTCGTCTTCGATCGTACCCCCTTGGGGGTATATCCTCCTTACCTGCCACGTACATTTAGCGCAGCTCCTAAAACAAGGGAAGAGAAGACGGGTGGAGGGGGAGGCAGAATAATGGAGCACGAGAGAAATTAGCAGGAGGGGGCAAGGGGCAGAAAACGAGTGGCAGAACCAGACGGGCAGATCGGGTGGGCAGACCCGGAGCGGGCAGGTCGGGAAGGTGGGCCCAGGCGACCAGGTCGAGCAGGCGGGTTGCTGAAAAGATGCCACGCTCCTCCCCGCTTGGCATCGTGTCTGGATGGGCTGGTGGGGATGCTTTTTTGATCGCGACCGCGTCGAGAGAAGTGGCTGGTGTTAAGTCGGGCCTGTCTGCAGGGGGGATATTCAAAAATAGTAAAAAATGGTATGGGGACGATGTCTGAGTTTTTCTTGACCATTTTTGAATACTTTTGGCATATCTTTCATTATTTTGCTCCTCGAAAAGCCCCCCTGTAGGGGGACAGGCCCGACTTGAGGCTGGTGGGGATGCGCGAAGCGCCAACACCCTCCCTGCGAGCCGCGGGGCCGACCGGGGTGCCGCGGGGCGCTCCGCCGGGGGGCGGCGGGGCCCCGGGGCCGCTCCGGGAGGCTGCGCCTCAGCGGGGGTCGACGGGCTGCGCGCGCGGCAGCTACAGCTCCTGCGCGGGGGGGCAGGGGGAGGGAGAGCTGGCCACACGCAAGGAGTGGCCCTGGGCAGGAGTGACCTCTGTGGCGCGGCTCTTTTGGGGGGCCGCGGGGAGGCCAGGCCTGGGCCGCGCCAGCCGCCGCTGCCGCTCCGTCTTCAACCATCCGAGGGCCCATCTGTGCCCGCACCAAAGGTCACTCCGGCGAAAGGTCACTCTTACGTCTAGTCGGGAAGGAGGGGGGTGAGGCGCAAGAACGGCGCCCATGCATCGGACCATGTCTGGACTTATGATGCTCCATCCTGCTTGAGCCTTGAGCACCACGAAAAAAACATCGAACACCAATAAAAAACGAAACTCCAGGGTTTTCACGTGTCGGGCCCTGGGAGGCACTCGTCCGACACAGTTTCGACGCTGTTTCCAATGTTTCGACACTTTTCCGGGTGCTCGAAATCATTTACGGGATGTGGTCCTTAAGTACGATGGGAACAACATAAGTATGGATTCCCTTAAGGCCCCGCGCCAACGCGGTGCGGTGCGCACACTCTTTTCGGCTCTGAGGGCCGACA